TGCATGGGATAGAGCAGGTCGAGAAAGATGTACTTTTCTCCCTTTCTCACAATACAAGAACTCGTGGGCACTCAATGAAATTGCTGAGCGGTCGGGTTAGAACAGATGAAGTACTTCTTCACCCAAAGAGTGATAAACACATGGAATTCACTGCCACAGTAGGTGGTGGTGGCTACAAGTATGGACAGCTTCAAGAGGGAATTAGATAAGCATATGGAGCAGAGGGCCATCAGTGGCTATTAGCCACAAGGTATAGATAGGGACTCACAGGCTGGGGCAGGGGATGCACTGTATTCTTGGTGCTTGGGGGGGGGCCACAGTGGGAGGGCTCCTAGTGTCCTGGCCCCACTGCTGGACCTCCTTATGGCACCTGGTATTTCTGGCCACTGTGTGATACAGAGTGTTGGACTGGATGGGCCATTGGCCTGATCCAACATTGGCTTCTCTTATGTTCTTATGTTTTTAAGCCTATCTCCCTGTGGACAGAGCTTCCACTATGCAATTCATGGCCCAGACCTTCATGATGACACCCTGTCAGCGGGAGAAAACAATTCAGTGCCCCTTAGGCCTCATGGCCTTGACTACGTTCATCATCCCATTCGTGAGGCTACACAAAACTACTTCAGTTGTGGTTCCTCCACCATTTCATGCCCCATCGTCAGCCACAGTCAGCTATGCTGCTCATTCCCCAGTATGTCCTGCCTTCGCATGCCATTTCACCAACCACTTCCGGAGGTTGTCTTACCCATGAATGCCTCGCTTTGGGGTTGAGGAGCCCATTGCGAGGCTCCCTACACAAGGCCTAGTCTGCTGCAGAACAAAACCTGCTCATCAATTGCCTCGAGATGTTGGCAGTACACCAGGTGCTTCCCATCGTCTCTAACTGGCTGCTCTGTACAAGTTGCCACCAACAACATGGCAACTATATACAAGCAAGGGGGCACTGCCTCGACCAAATTATGCTGATGAGCCCTGTGATGTTGGTGCAAGGAACACAACATCCTCCCAGCTGCCGTTCATGTGCCAGGGGGCAAGAATACTTGTATAAACTTCCTCAGCAGGACCATGTCAAATGAGAACAAATGATCCCTCAATTGGAAATACCTAACCCCTGTTTTCAGAGCCTTTGGCTACCCACAGATAAATGTGTTTGCCACCAGAGAAAACACCGACTGCAGTATTTTCTACAGCAGGGGACCAGCGATCAAGGGATCATCTGGAGATGCTTTTTTGCATCAATGGAAGGAGAAGCTATTTTACCTGTTTCCCCCATATCAGTTAATACTACACACCAACCCGAAAACCATCCACAATCAAACCTTGTGCATCCTAGTCATGCCCTGGTGGCCCAGACAACTGTAGTTCCCACATATGCTATGATTGTCCCGGAACACGTATTTTCAATTTCCTTGGGTCCCTGATCTTTTCACACAGCAACAGGGCAGGGTTCTGCACCACAATCCCAGTGTCCTTCAACTGTCAGTGTGGAGAATATCTCCCTGATTTTTTCTCCACAGGTGCAACACGTCTTGCTCAATGCCAGGAAATCAGCTACTCATTGCACTTGTGGGACCAAGTGGAAGTGTTTTTCTCTTTATGCATCTACTTGGCAGTTGGACCCCAGGACAGTTCCTTACACCATCTTCCACAGGGACAAAGTCGTGCTACATCCTGATCCATCCTTCCTACCAAAGGAAGTTCCAGCTCTCGCAGTCCACTATACTGCCTACCTTTTTTCCCGATCCAGCAGGCATTACACACCCTCAGCGTTTGTAGAGCCCTATCCTTCTAACTTACTAGGACTAAACCTTTCCATAAGGACCCCCATCTTTTTGTCGCCTATGGCAAGCCCAAGAAAGGGCACAGAATATCATCTCAGAGGCTGGCAAAGTGGGTTACGTCCACCATTTCCCAGTGCTATGAATGGTAAAAGACAACTGGTACCTGCTCAGCTCCAAGCCCACTCTATGGGAGCTGTGTCTACTTCTGTGACTTTCCAGGGAGGCGTGTCTCTGGATGAAGTCTGTAATGCAGCTACATGGTTCTCTCCATTGACTTTTGTGACGCATTATGTCCTCGACGAGGAGCTGCGGTGGCTCAAGTGGTTAAGACGCTGAACTGCAGGCTGTGGAAGGTCAGTAGTTCAGCAGTTCAAGACCCGGGTGCCGCAAGATGGGGTGAGCTCCTGTCTCTAGTTCCAGCTCCTGCCAACCTAGCAGTTCGAAAGCAAGAAATTGCAAGTAGATAAATAGGTACCACTTCGGTGGGAAGGTAACAGCGTTCCGTGCGCATTGGTGTTTAGTCATGCCGGCCACATGACCACGGAAATGTCTTCGGACAGCGCTGGCTCTTCGGCTTTGAAACGGGGATGAGCACCGCAACCCTAGAGTCGGATTCGACTGGCTTTCGAGCAAGGGAACCTTTACCTTTTTATGTCCTCGACACCACAGCATGTCGGGATGCATTCTTTGGCCAGACGGTTTTGACATCCATATTCCATTGATCCACCATGTCAACATGGTCCTCAAGTAGGCCTAAAACATGTAAAGGGATCTTGGTTTATCTGCTGTGTCCTGGCTGCCAGCACCCTCCATCCTGATACACTAAGCTTGCTAATCACCCAAGTGTGGGACTGCACAGAGACCATGAAGAAGATAAACAAGTTACTTACCTGTAACAGATGATCTTCAAGTGGTCATTTGTGCAGTCACAAATGCTCGCCCATCCTTCCCCACTGCTGACATCTCTCGATCACATACTTTAAATTGATGGGACTTACTGGGGGCAGTCAGAAGGAACTCAGTTCCAGGCATGCGCAGTCGATGCCTGCTCCCTAGCTTAGAGCATGGGGGAAAGCATGCTAAAAATGTTAGAGGCTAGCACTGATATTCTCTGAGGTTGGTGTGTAAGTGCACAGTGTGTAACTGCACAAATGACCACTCAAAAAGATCATCAGTTACAGGTAAGCAACCTGTGTTTCCTCTAATTGGTCACTAGATGGCACTGGGACATGGGCTTTACAGCTTTGAAGGATTGCCATATCCATTATTTCTTGTTGTTATACAAAATACTGTTCTGTTTATGTAGTCAAAATGTACCATTAAATCACCACCCCGAACAAATATTAAAAAGAGGAAATGCAAATAATTCACCCTTCCCCTTTGATCCTAAGAAGATGGGAAGCAGAGAAACAGCAGGCAGTGTCTTGGTGTTTAACCTGTTCCCTGGAAATTGTTTTTCTTTTACATCAAATCGCACACATGCCTTGCAGCAGTTTTTGTCCCCAAAGGTTTGTGTGTGGGTGTGTCCTTGCAAACATATATTAAGCATCCTCCAGGAGAAGGAGAGTGGCTTGGGGGCAGCTTTGGAGCAGGCAGGGCAAGGGTCCTTTGTGAAACATGATGCTAGACTAGACAGGCCCCTGGTTTGATCCAGCATGTCACCCCTGATGTAAAATACTCCTGTCCCTGCTTTTGAGATTCACATGACCTCCTGCTGCTCAGGTGGTAAAGGACTATTGGGAAAAAGTAATATGCATTTGTAAGTAATGGCTGTTTCAGTCTCATATCTACCTCACCCAGTATTGTCTAATTGACTGACAGTGGCTCTCCAGCGTCTCTGGTCAAGGTCTCTCTGTCCTCCCATTTTTAGTAGTCATTGACTTTTTATTTTAATTATTTATTTATAAGATTGCTGCCTTTCAGTCTAATCAGTGCCCTTGGCAGTTAATGACTAAACACATAGTGTAAAAACACATTGTGTTGCTGCTGCATTTTTACCATTGGTTGGGTTTTGCTCTTGCTGCCACTTTTACTGATGTGCTGCTGAACTGCATGTTTGGAAACTGCCCTGAAGCCAAAAGGGGGGTATAAGTATTTTAAATAACTTCACACTGTGCATGCTAAGTCTACTTTCAAACAGGCAGACTTCAGCTGAGGAACAACCAGGCTGAAGGCCAACGCAGTTTCGATGTACATAGACACATGAAGCTGCCTTTATACCCGTTAAGTCTACTTTCAAACAGGCAGACCTTCAGCTAAGGAACAACCAGGCTGAAGGCCAACACAGTTTCAATGCTCATAGACACATGAAGCTGCCTTTATACCCTTGGTCCATCAAAGTCAAACTTGTCTACTCAGAATCTCAGGTAGATGTCTTGCACATCACTTTCTCCCTGATCCTTTTAACTGGAGATGCCAGGAATTGAATCTGGGACCTTCAGGAATGGCAAGCAGATGCTCTATCTCTGAGACATGGCCTCTCCCAGTTGACAAATGAAGAGCTGTTTATGCAAACCTTTCTTGGAAAGTTACCCACACACTCCCAAGGACAACAGCTGAGGAAGGTCTGCCCAGTTCTCTCTATCTGGTCCTGACATTGCAGATCTCTTGGAAGTACTTTATAAATGCAGAGCAGTATTAAGCACTGAGTCATGGAGCCCAGTATCGAGTAGAATCATAGAATCACAGAGTTGGAAGGGGCCCTACAGGTCATCTAGTCCAACCCCAGCTTAATGCAGGATCAGCCTACAGTATCCCTGACAAGTGTTTGTCCAGATGCTGCTTAAAGACTGCCAGTGAGAGGGAGCTCACCACCTCTCTAGGCAACTGATTCCACTGTTGCACAACTCTGACTATAAAAAAGTTTTTCCTAATATCCAGCCGGTACCTTCCCACCTTTAATTTAAACTCATGATTGCAAGTCTTCTCCTCTGCTGCCAACAGGAACAGCTTCCTGCCCTCCTCTAAGTGACAGCCCTTCAAATTCATAAAGAGAGCAATCATGTCCCCCCTCAACCTCCTCTTCTGTCTCACACACACAACCAACACAATCCTACAAGTTCCACTGAATTCAATGAGGCTTGATGTTTGCTGAGCATGCATAAATTATTTTTATGATGATGATGGTTGGATCAGTAAAAGACCCATGAATCTGAGGTTTCTGTTTTTGTTTGCCAGAAGCTCAGGGAGCAGGAATCACCATCTTTGTCTCTTTGCCAGCATGCAGCAGCCATCAGCAATTAGCCAGCAGATGCCTGAGTGTTGGAGCCAGCTGCAGATGTACGTGGCCACCTTGCAAGGGGAGGCCCAGGAGAAGTGACGGTGCCGTGGGAGAAGCTTCGGTGAGATTTTCATTCCCAGAGGGAGTGGTTGGGGTGCAGTTCCTTTGCAGCCATCGGTTCTTTCCCCATCCCTCATAGGTGGGTGGCCCAGACTAGCCTGATCTCATCGTATCTCGGAAGCAAAAGAGCATCAGCCCTGGTTAGTACTTGGATAGGAGACCACCAAGGAATACCAGGGTTGCTATGCAGAGGCAGGCAATGGCAAACCACATCTGTTCGTAACATCTTGCTGTCCAATCAGTTTGCTCATTTTTCCTGTTCTGTTTTCTTGGCTAGGCAGGGTTGAAGATGTGGAACACTAACTGGAACAGCAGAGCCAAAGGACTCATCAGTGAGTCCACTCTGTGCATCAAACTGATCTTCTTCGTGGTTTCTGTGCGGTCCCAAACATGGGTACCAGCGCCTGCGCATGAACCTGACCTCAGAGAACTACAAGAGCTAGCCTCTGGCATTTGGCGCACTTTTCTCCCATGCTCTGAGGAGCAGGCATCGACTGCATATGCCTGGAGTCAGAAGGAAGCGCCCTCCCACTCAGTTTCTTCCTGACCACCATGCTGTATAGACCTACCTTGCTGCATTCCTCTTCTGAGCTACCTCAGCTGTCCTTCGACACTTTGAGTTTTCTTTTTCCTCCGTTATCTTCATCTCCATTCCTTCACATCTTATGTGCTTCTTAAAAAAAAGGACCCTCCATGAGTTTGTGTGTCAACATCGATGGATCAACCTCAGTCTGTGCCAATCGATCGACACCGATCAATACTGACAGATAAACCTCCATCATCAGAGGCTTCGGTTTCCACACCATCGGTGGCTTCAACATCCACCGTGAAAGTTACGCCACCTGAGAGTCGCTCAGTGTCCTCTACACCGATGGTGAAGAAGAAGAAGAAGGACAAGAGCCACACTAAGGTCAAACATAAACACCTTAAGACTGTCTCCAAGAATTCTGTCCCCGGCACCGCTGTTCCGGTTGCGACTCTGGCAACAACTGCTGCTCGCTCAGTGTCACCAGACCCTAACAAGGTGTCTGCCACCTCTCCTTTCCTGCTCCTCGCATTGCCCATCCAACAACCTCCAGTATCGATGGCAGCATCGATACCGATGGATGTTCACTTCACTGACTCCGAAGTAGAAGAGGTTCCAGCCTCTGGCCACCTACTGGATCCTCCTAGCTCTCATTCCTCAGCACACTGTCAGTCTCAATCACTGGTCAGGGTCGAGGATCGGCGTTGACAGAAGCAAAAATGAAGACTTCATTGTTCCTCCTCCTGTGACAGCAGCTTGCCACCGAGAGCTCGTGGTCGATCACTGCGGGCCACTGTGATTCCCCTTTCGGTACCTCAACCTCCAGTGATGGTACCTTGGGATCACAGACAGCTCCAATACCTTTACAGCACATTTCCTCTGGCCTCCACTTTTCCTTGGCTGACCCCAAATCATCACCCAGAGCTGGACCAGCAATTGGTGAGATCACACCGGGCCCATTCCCCAGTGAAGGAGAAGCGATTCTCTTGGCAATTCTGCTTCGTTTCCACATCTCCCATCCAATGTTCCCTCTAAGCTGTGGAGTCGTGTGAGCAAAAATTCTACTACAGACAGCTCCAATACCTTTACAGCACATTTCCTCTGGCCTCCACTTTTCCTTGGCTGACCCCAAATCATCACCCAGAGCTGGACCAGCAATTGGTGTGATCACACCGGGCTCATTCCCCAGTGAAGGAGAAGCGATTCTCTTGGCAATTCTGCTTCGTTTCCACATCTCCCATCCTTTTCTTCAACTTCTTGCTTGTGGTGTCTATCTCTTTAATTTTCTCGTTTGCCTGCTCCACTTTTTTCTCTGTTTCGTTCAGATGAAGCTGCTGTGCTACAAAGTTTTTATTCATCACGGTCAGTTGCTGGTTAATACCATCGAGTTGTTCCATCACCTGCTTGAGCATATCCACCAGGAGTTTGAGGACATCTGCTCCCTCTTCTGGTTTCGGACTCTGACTGCCTGGCTTCGTTTTAAACTTTCTCTGGTGGGCCGCCATCTTTCCCGTTTTGTTTACAGTTTCTGCTGCTTCCACGCAACTCGGAAAACTCGCCAAACACTTCGCAATTCAGATAAGTCTCTCAACCCACTTTTGGTTTACTTCCTTCCCTCTCCCCCTTCGTGTCCGTTAGCCACTCATTCGCATAAGAGGCATCCCTCTTTGCAATCTCTTTTTTCAACAGCAGGGGGGGTCGTTTTTCAAACTACTCCGTTTTATTCAGAACTCACGTTCATTGTCGGTCAGTTTCTCTGACCGCGCTCGATTTTATGCCATTCCGCTCGATCTCTGGCGCTTGTCCCGGTCAATCCAGCTTGTGCCCGAAGGCCACTCAGCGACTGGATAGTCGGGGCGGAGGGGAACCTCAATTCTCCGGCATTGCGCCGTCGAAGAGGCTACCCCTCAAAAGCCCCCTGGCCTGGAGCCAATCGCAAAGGCTCCATGGGGGTGTCACTTGAGGTGGCACCCCACCAGGCCGCTGGTGTGTGATTCGCCCTCCTCCGTTATGGGGAGAGCGTCCACCATCGCTGTTCCGTCGACTGGAAGAATGAATTATATATTCTGATGATAGTTTTATGGTTTTATTATTTTTAAATCTGTACATCACCTAAAATGCCACAGTCGTGGGGATTAAGCAATTTAAAAATGCAAATAAACAAATAAATAAACCCCGGAGATCAGGTTCCTTCAAGTGTTCCTACTCTCCACACCAAGTTGATTTTTGGAAGCGTAAAGCACCTGCCACCAAACAGCCTTATCAAAACAGCAACCCAAGCCACAGTCTTCTAAGGAGTCTACTCCTCAAACCAAGCAGTCTCTTTGACTAAGTCATTCTTCCCAACCCTCCCCCTCATCCGACTGTCACCCCACCCCTGGGCACCAGGTTCTATCTTTTTTTTCCAACCTGGGAATCTATCGGCACGGACTCCTGGGTCCTCACTATTATCCAGGTGGGGTACGCCATTGAGTTACTTTTGACCCCAAAGGCCCCTCGTTTTGTGGCAACACCTCCATTCCACTTCCTGCACAACATGGTTCAAACCCTTCTTGCAAAAGGGGGCTATAGAAATTGTCCCTCAGGCCAAACATTGCCTGGGGTTCTACTCTCATTATTTCATTGTGCTGAAGCGAGATGGGGCAGGCACCCCATCATGACCTTGTGGCAATTCAACCGCTACATCCCTTGCAGGAAATTCCAGATGATCACCCTGCAAGCCATTCTTCCTCTGATTCCCGAGGATTCCTGGTTGGCGTCTCTGCATCTCCAGGATGCCTATTTCCGCATCATCATTCAGCCACAACAACAACACTTCCTGAGGTTCACAGTGAGCTCCAATCACTACCAATATCGGGTACTCCCCTTCGGTCTCTCCACAGCACCGAGAATGTTTACAAAGTGCATGGTGGTAGTTGCTGCAGTTTTCAGATAATGGGAACATCATTTTCCCCTACACTGACAATTGGCAGCTCGTCTCCCAAATCCTGCAACAACTTCATCAGGACATGTCTATCACTCTCCAACTCTTGACCCACCTTGGCCTTTGCATGAACCTCACAAAATCTCATCTACTCCCTGTCCAGGAATTGCAGTTCATAGGAGCCATACTTTGCAGTACTCAACATTGTGCCTATCTTCCAGCGGACAGAGCTTTGCTAACTCCACTCCCCAGCAATTTCATCGCCCACACGGCCTGCCCTGACAATTCAGCGCCTCTTGGGCTTCATGGCTGCCACTACCTTTGTGGTGCCTTTCGCCAAGCTCCATATGTGGCCTCTCCAACGTTGGTTTGTCTGCACCTTTTGGTCTCTTCTCCACCATCAAATTACCCTGATCATGGTCCCACTGAAAGTCATCTCGACTCTCCAGTGGTGGACCCAGGAGAACAATCTACTTCGTGGGATGCCTTTCCAGCCATCACCTCTGAACACTGTCCTCACCACTGATGCCTCTCTATGGGGTTGGGGAGCTCACTGCGGGGCATTTATGGCACAAGGTCAGTGATCAATGCTAGATTTATCACTGCACATCAATTGCTTAGAGCTCATGGCGGTTCATCATGCCCTATGCTCTTTTCTCCCATCTTTGCAAGGTCTGCATGTCCAGGTCACCATGGACAACCTTGCAACCATTTTTTATATCAATAAACAGGGCAGAACAGTCTCTGAGAAGCACTGCCGGAGAGCTTTGACCCTCTGGCACTGGTGTAGAGCTCATGACCTCACAGTGGTTCACTTGCCAGGTATCCAGAACTCCCAAGCAGACATCCTCAGTCAGACTCGATCCAACAAACACAAGTGGTCCTTACATCCCAGATACCTACAGCCTGTCTTTTGCATCTTTGGGCATCCCCAAATAGATGTTTTTGCTATGGAGGACAATGCAAAATGTACAGCATTCTACAGTCAGGGTCCATGGGCAAGACGACAGCTTTTTGCACCAGTGGAAACATTCTACAGTCAGGGTCCATGGGCTGGGCTCTTGCAAGACGACAGCTTTTTGCACCAGTGGATCGGGCCTCTGCATTACATGTTTACCCCGTTCCTGCTCATTACTCCGAACGATCGAGAAAATTGTTGATGACTGCTTGGACTATATCCTCATGACACCCTATTGGCCGAGGCTCCTCCATTGGTTTGCCAGGCTTCTGCAACTGAATTGAAATACCTACTTATACTTTCCTCTGGTGCTGGACCTTCTCTCTCAACACTAGAGGAAGGTCCTGCACCACAATTCAAATCTTTTCAAACTAACGGCATGGTGAATCTTGACATAAGCCTTCCTCCTGTAGTTCAACACATGCCACTCCTACTAGGCAAAATGGAGACGCTTTGCATTTTATGCTGCCAAACAACATCTGGACCTGCAAAGCACTTCTCTCCCAGACATTCTATCTTATTTGTTTTCCCTCTGAGAATCAGGACTCAGATACTCTTCTCTCAGTTTGCATCTCTCTGAGAATCGAGACTCATTCCTCTGAGAATCGGGACTCGGATACTCTTCTCTCAATGTGCATCTCTCTGCTTTTCATCAACTTGTTGACGGGAGGACTGTTTTCTCCCACCATATTGCTAAATTAGTTGCACACACCCCAGTTAAACCTTTTGTTCCAGCATGGAGCTTGTTCCTCGTGGTAAGCCATTCGAGCCCCTCGCAACCACATCTCTGCATCTTCTTTCTTGGAAGACAGCATATTTAATAGGTGTCATATCAGCAAACGTGGCAAGTGACCTGTGTGCCTTACACTCTGATCCACCATAAACAATTTTTCAGGACAAAGTAGTCCTACATCCTGATCCGGGGTTCCTTCCAGAGGTTGTTTCCTCCTTTCAGCTTTCTGCCCACATTTTTCACGAATCCTGCCAATGCTGGCCAGAGAGCGCTCCATTCCCTGGATGTCCAATGGGCATTTTCCTTCTTCCTTTCCTGGACTCAACTGTTTTAGAAAGACTCTCGTTTGTTCGTGGCCTATGGCAAACCTTGTCAGGGACAGAGACTCTCCCCCTAATGACTTGCTAAGTGGGTGACCTCCACGACTGCACTCTGCTACAAACTGGCCAGGCAACCCTTACCTGTCTTGCTGAAATGGCCCATTCAACCAGGGCCATTTCCACGTCATCGGCCTTCCTTGAAGGTGTTTCTCTGGAGAACATTTGTGCCGCTGTCACTTGGTCCTCACACACCACCTTTTTTGTTCGTGGCCTATGGCAAACCTTGTCGGGGACAGAGACTCTCCCCCTAACGACTGCACTCTGCTACAAACTGGCCAGGCAACCCTTACCTGTCTTGCTGAAATGGCCCATTCAACCAGGGCCATTTCCACGTCATCGGCCTTCCTTGAAGGTGTTTCTCTGGAGAACATTTGTGCCGCTGTCACTTGGTCCTCACACACCACCTTCGTAATGCGTTATGCCCTTGATATTAGAGCTCAGCAAGATGTGTCCTTTGGACAATCAGTGCTCTGGTCCATCTTCCACTGATGCCTGTGCTGCCTCAGCTGCTCAGGTAGACCCCTGTAGGTAAAGTCATATGCATTCCTGTTGCTGTTTGTGATGTTGGACTGCCAGCACCCTCCATCCAGTTCTTGGAGCTCGCTAACCAACCATGTCTGGGACTGCATAGAGACCATGAAGAAGATAAACAGGTTGCTTACCTGTAACTGATTATCTTAGAGTGGTCATCTGTCCGGTCACATGCCCACCCAGCCTTCCCCACTGCTGGCATTTCTCATTCATTTATTTGTACTTGATGGGACCTACCAGTGGTGGCTGGAAGAAACTGAGTGGGAGGGTGCTTTCTCCTCTCTCCAGGCATGCACAGTCAATGTCTGCTCTCCAGAGCACAGGAGAAAAGTGTGCCAAATACCAGAGGCTAGCTTTTCTAGTTCTCCGTAGTTGCGTTCATGCACAGGCACAGTACCCATGTGTGACTGCACAGATGGCCACTTGAAGATCATCAGTTACAGGTAAGCAACCTGTTTATATTCAGCACAGACAACATTCATCCTGTTGAAGCTGGTGCTTCATAAGATCCATCTCTGACCATCTTTACCTTTGCATCCTTTATAAAGTAGTATCTTCTTACTCATACACAGTAAAGAGACTTTGGGAGAGGGTAGTAACGGAACCTGAGAAATGACCATGTCCAAATCAGAAAGAGATGGCCAGTTCCCTAATAATAATAATAATCCCTTTGAGGTCTCAAAGGGCAAGACTTATTAAAACATAATAAGAAAGGCAAGGGAGAAGCTGATTGAAGTCCTGGAGACATGAGCCAACCTGCTGAGAAACTGCAACAGGAGATGCTATGAAACACAGACAAAATCCTTGCATACAGGTCTTCCTCTACTTTTCTCTACCCTTTTCCTATGATTTTTTATATCTAGCATTTTTTTTTGGGGGGGGGGGTCTTTAAAATAATACAGGTCACCCAGAATATCTTTATTCAAAAATGAACATATTGCACACAAGCAATCTACACAGGAGAGGGAATACTAATTATTATTATCATACGGCATTTTCTGTAGTGTGTGTAGTATAGCCAGGAGATCCTAAGATTGTCTGGCAGTCAGAAGTTCTAGCTCTTTTAGGTGGTGAGCTAGACTTGTTGTTGTTGTTTTTTTTTGCAAGAGACATTTCAGAGGTGGTTTGCCATTGCCTGCCTCTGTGTTACACCCCTGGTATTCCTTGGAGGTCACCTATCCAAATGCTAGCCAGGGCCAACCCTGTTATGAGATCTAATGGGATCAGGCTATTCTGGGTTATCCAGGTCAGGACAGTGAGGGAATATGGTATATATCACTTCAAGTTTCAGCACCTTTTAAGGATGGAGATAGATCAAGATTGGTAGCAGTCTTAGACTGTCTGTAGGAGTAGAAAAGAGCAAAAGCCCAGTAGCACCTTAAAGACTAACAAAATATGTGGCAGGGTAGGAGCTTTCACTGCTCACTTGCTCTTTTCTACTTTTAAGGATGGAGACAGAGACACAATTGCTCATCCTCTGGTGGTGACTTCTAGCATTTTTAAAATCACAGTAGACCGCTCTTTTTTTCTTCTGTGGTTTTGGGGACCAGAGTCACTGTACTGGATTCTTAAGCCTCTTTTAAAAGAGCCGTTTGTGTGTTTTGCTTGTTTTTTCTCACCAGATCTCCCCCTCAGGCGTCACTTGTTGGAGTCTTGAGTGTATTGTTTGTGAGGGCTGGTAACCTTGAAGAGGCTGGTTGCAGTTTTGCAGGCAAAATGCTACAATCCCCTGCAGCCCACCGGAGAGCAGCCAAGTGCTGTAGCCAACCTGGCAGCTGCCTCTGAAGCCCACAGTGCTTTCTCTGAAATGTCTACAGTCCAAAGCACAAGGAACCACCAGCGGATTTCAGTTTTCTGTTGAACTGGGCATGCTCCTGATAAAGTATCCTAAGGGTTCATAAAGTGTAGGTTGATTATCTCTGTTGTATTTCCATAGTTCTCTTGTTACAGTGTTATTTAATTAAAATACAGATGCAGTCCACACACTCAAAAAAAATTTTTTAAGCAGTCTACAGGATTAATTAAATGAAAAAAGAAATAATATATTTAAAAGGAGTGAAGGTTGACTGTTCAAAGAACGACAGGACACAAACAGCTCTGCAGAAATCTGTCTCCTCCTACCTGGAGAAGCAGGCTTTATTAGATTCCCTTCACTCCTTCCCCCTCCCCTATACATCGAAAGTTACATAGTCACCCTACTATGAGCTACTATATTCAGGAATGTGTTGTGAAGACAGCCTCAGTCTTATCTCTCCCCGACTCTTCTGCCAAGTTACTTCTCACGTTGAAAATAGCAGATGCTTACCAGCTCCTTGCACACAATTGCCAATCTCCCAGCAGGAGTAGTGAATTCCAGGCTTGCCACGCAGATATTCACCATTCCCACAAAGGAGAAGCTAGCTATACAAAAAACCCCAACAAGAATAGTAATGTAATTATTAATTGTTAACAGCAGCAGTGGAATGAGATCAAAATAGCAATACTTAAATAATAATTAAAAAAACAGCAGTACCCTGACCTGGATGGCCCAGGCCAGCAGGGAAGTTCAGAGCCACTACACAGAGGAAAGCAATGACAAATACCTCTGTTCATCTCTTGCCTTGAAAACCCTACGTGGCTGCCAGAGTCATCTGTGACATGACGTCACTTTGCTCTGCCATGGCTTTTTCACTCAATGAGAAATTATATGGCTGAATTCACTGCCTCTGCATGTAGTAATGGCCACTAGTGTAGATGGCTTTAAAGTGGGAGAAGAGGCCCATTAATGACTTCTAACCATAATGATTGAAGGCAGTATACATCTGAATACCAGTGCTAGGAGGTAACATCATGGGGAAGTCTTGGCCACTATGCCTTGTTTTTGGCACTACAGGACAGCTATGTGAGACAGGATGCTGGACTAAATGGACCACTGTTCTGATCCAGTAGGGCACCTCTGATGTTCTAATTGTCTCAAAGAATAAATAGCAAAAAAGAAGAGAACAACTGAGAAAATCTTTTTTGGGGGGGGCTTGGTGCCAAGAATTAATTAATCTGGTGTCTTTTAGGGCAATGCCACAAGTGGAGTTTTTGGCTTCTCCTTTAGAGGGGGAAGTCATCCAAACTGGTTAGATTATACCTTCTCTTGCTCCAAGCAGGGCTATGCAAATTTTGTGTTGCTCTCCTGGGACAAAGTGAGGCTGTCCTTCCAGTTTGGATAGCCCTGCCACTCCAGCAAGTCGCTAGTGCCTTACTCCATTCTGAAGACTGACTTAGGGCAAAGTCTTACATTTTCCTTTCAAAATAAAGTGACAGAAGTCCTAAACATGGATGAAGATCATACCAAAAAGATCCAGGGCTCTGGATCTACAAAAAAGAAAGATTGTGTTAAGGACAAATCTTTCCTGCCCGAGGCTTTGAGCACAGGGGAAGTCGTGAATACAGCGATCATCAGAACAGGGTGATCAGAGGCTTTGGAGCCTTCCTCTGGCCCCCTACTGCCAATGGCACTGCTTTTCCTCAGGCATGGCCAGGCCTCTTCAGAGCACACCACTTTATCAGTTACAGATTCCCGCTATACAGGGTCAGAGACTGCCAGGTCCTTCAGTGGGCCTCATGAAGATGTTGGAGGTGAGTCCTCCCCTCCCCAGACCACTCAGGCTAACAGCCAGGTGGGAATGGAGCTTAGACCAGGAATTTTCTCCCCAGGAACCCCATAATTCCACAGGCCTCTCCACCTTTCCCTGGCAACCACAGGAACCTCCAACATGGGGGGTGCTCTATTTCCCCCCATATTTTTCAGTCAGGCTGCAGCTGACTAGATGGCACAGGCTTGGAGATTGGCATGGATGCCCTCTCCTCAGTCCCCTTTACTATGGGAGTGCATGTTGCCCAGGGATTAGGAACTCCTGATTGCCCAAGGGAAGAGGCCAGAATTGTAGAGAGGGAATCTGATTGTCAGGGACAGACTGGACAATGTCATAGGAAGCAGGTTTACCCCTCTTCTTCTCCTGGATAATTGTCTTTGGGGAAAAGTTTACATGCCAGGGCAGGACATCCCAAGAAGCCCCTTAATGGGAGGTATTCCCAACTCAGACAGAAGGGAGATGAAAATTTAGTCTGTCTCTAGAGCACCTGTAAGGCAACAAACAAAAACCTCTTGTAAAAAAATGCTTTCATACAGCAGGTTGAGACGCAGACTCTGATACAGAGGAAACTCACTCCATCACTATGTCTGTAGTAACCAGGGGTCATTCCCTGCCGGAATGAGCTGGGACGGCATTCTGGCAGTAACAAGCCCAGGAGTGGGCACATGTGGTGGCAAGCCAGCAGCCCTCAGTCGGGCCAGGAGGAGCGTGAAACAGCACGTACTGCCTCTGCTTGCCGCCACCACCATCACCAGCCAGAAGGCAGGGTAAGTTGGTGGGGGTGTAGGGGGCAGGAGCTTGTTTCAGGTGGGGGGCTGGGAGCCTGGAGAGAGCCCCTCCCCGGTCTTCCCTGGCCTGCCCGCCAAGGCAGGTGAACTGGGAAGGCCCTGCAAGGACTGGGGAGGCATTTAAATGCCTCCCTGTGCCTTTCCTGGCCCGCCCGCAAAGCGGGTGAGTCAGGGAAGGCCTGGAGGGACCCCACCCCCACTTCCCTGGCCCACCCGCTGCCTTCCTAGGCCCGCTTCTGTCAGGCAGAAGTGCCTGCGATCCTTCCCCCCCCTTTCCTTTACCCCACTTGCAGGTGAAGGGAAGGAAGAGGGTGAAAGGAATGGAACCCAGGCACTTCTGCCTGTCAGAGGGACCAGCGAGCTGACCCCTCTGTCAGGCAGAAGCACCTGAGATTCTTCCCTCCCCCTTTTCCTTCACCCCGCTTTGAGGCGAAGGGAAGGGAGATGTCAGGGGGTGTGACATATGCAAATAAGTTATGCTAATTACTTATGCTAATGAGCTCCTGCACCTCTTTTTCTACAAAATGACCCCTGGTAGTAACGAATTGTGATAAGGAAGGAGGAGAGTGGTCTGGAGAAGACTCGAATTCTAAGGAGACATCTACTAGACTCTTCCCACTGGAGCATTACCAGAGACTCTTTAAGAAGGTTATATTGACCTTAAACTATCCTGTGGAGGGTTCAGATAAGCCAAATTCATCAAACATCTCCATGCTAGATGCTTGGGGATTCACAAAGCCATCCAAATGCATGTCAGTTTGCCCTTTCTCTGATTTCTTCAAGTTAGTATTAAGAGCGGAATGGTCTGTTCCAGGCAATATACAAAAGAGATTCCACAGCAAATACTATAACCAAAGATAAAGCTGTGCACAAAAGAGATGCTGAGATTGCAAATTGCTAATATATTACTCATAATAAAGGTCAAACTAAGTACAAACATCCAATATACATATACAAATTCTTCAATAAAGTATAACAATGCTAAATATTCCAAAAATGGTATAAATAAATTCTGCAATGATAATCCAACGAAGGTTCTGGATATAGATAACTTCATTTCAAAATTCTTTCTCAAGGAACAATGAACTAGTCAAAAGCAGAATATACAAAAACAGAATAATACTAAAAATCACAATATCCATAAAGGGAATGTACAATAGATCCCAATAAAGGTGAACAAAAGATTGTTTCCTATTACATATTTCATAAGTATCTGAGGTATAGATTTATCAAACATTTCCTGTAAAGGAAAAAAAAATGCCTAAATAAATCAAACCTCCAAAAAATCATGCCTCAATGTAAGATAGGAAGAAGAAAACAAAATAAAGCTTACCTATACCTATATAGTTCATATAAACGGGCAACCAGTCAAAAATCTCTTCCAGGAAACAACTCCAAAGTATTAACTTGCTGGTATTGCCTCTGACTGATATATGAAGAACCAGCAGTATATGCAAAAAAGAAAAATAGGACAACTCCCAACAATTCACAATGATATTCACCTGTACCTAGGGGAACAAGAAAATTAAGAGGACACATCACACAAATCAAGATAGTTCCAACATCTGGTTGAGACTATGGGGATGGTGAGTTCTTAAGCAATGAATCCAGAAAGCCTCTCGTTGGCATAATGTTTTCTGTATGTTAATTCTATTATACCTATCAGGGGTCATTTCGTAGAAAAAGAGCTAGGGGAACTCATTAACATAACTCATTAGCATATGCCACACCCCCTGACATCACCGGAAGTGTGTCATAAGGCCACACCTCCTGACATCACCGGAAATGTGTCATAAGGCCACACCCCCCGCCTCCAACGGTCCCGACCGCCGGTACCGGCCTTGCAGCTCCACCGCCGAGCCCCATGAGGGGCCCGGCGGTGGACCTGCAAGGCCGGCGGGAGTGCAAGAAAGCCCCGCGAAGGCCCTCCCTGGCCCCAGGCAGGCAGGGGTGGGGAGAGGCAGGGAGGAAGCAACTTACCCTCCCTCTTCTCCTGCCTCCTCCTGGCTGAATGAGGGCCGGAAGCGGGGCGGCTGGAAGCAGGGGGCGGGGCTTCATCATGTGCCCCGCCCCCCGTACCTCACCCGGGGGAACTGCGTTCCCCCCCGAAATGACCTCTGATACCTATCAATAGTATTTCAAAAGCTAAAAATTTGAAATAGTTAAAGGCATGTCCCCTGTCCATAAAGTGTTGAACTAAAGCAGATTCGAGACGTTGATGTTTAATACATGATTTGTGTATGGACATGTATGGACCGATCGAGTTGATATCCTGACATACAGTAAGCCACACCCACATTTTATTAGGTAAGTGACGTATTTAGAAGAGCAGTTGGGAGGAAAATTTAATCATATTTAAAATTGATCTCAGGTAAGTGTAAACTGTGTTTGCCAAACCAAAGAACATATCGAACATCTGCCACATCTGTGGTGGTCAGCAGGGGGCAAAGTAGTTCTATGCTTTGGAAGTAAGTCTGCACATACCAGAGAATTATGTAAACTCTTTGTTTTTCTGAAGCCAATGAAGGGCAGGAATGTCACTATGTACCAGTGTTTGAGAATTATTTTTTTAATTGGATCTGCCAATGTGGTATAGTCAAAGGCACAATGGATATTAGTCCTTTGATTCCTTAAAGAGATAGTGCTTTGGAAGGAGACTCTTGTGTTCTACATTATGTGCTCTTAGGGAGGCACTTTCTATAACATGTGGTGGATAGCCTTGATCTTTAAACCGTCTATTGAGTTTAACATGCTCTTCCTCATAATGTTCAATCAGTGTGGAATTTCTTTTAGTACATAAAAATTGCCCATAGGGAAGATTGAATCTCAGTTTGGTGTAGTGGTTAAGTGTGCGGACTCTAATCTGGGAGAACCGGGTTTGATTCCCCACTCCTCCACTCGCACCTGGCTGGTTGACCTTGGGCAAGCCATAACTCTGGCACAGCTGTTCTTGAAAAAGAGTAGTTTCTGTCAAGAGTTCTCTCAGCCCCACCTACCTCACAGGGTGTCTGTTGTGGGGAGGGGAAGGGAAAGGAGTTTGTAAGCCACTCTGAGACACCTTTGGGTAGTGAAGGGCGGGGTATAAATCCAATCTCTTCTTCTTCTTCTTCTTCAAGTGTCTGGGATGGTGAGATTTGAAATGAAGATAAGAATTTCTATTGGAAACTTTAGTGTAAGGTTTAACAACCAATTTACCCAAGTGAGATACAAAAACAGTAGTATCCAAAAAGTTAATGATAGTCTGGCTGTGCTGAGAAGTAAATTTTAATAGTCAAATGTGTCTCGTTAAGCCAGTACACAAATTGACCAAATTTGGTAACATCATCAGAGAACAAATCATCGTTATGCCTCTTGAAAAAAATAATATTCTTCTAGAAGGGATTGTTAACAGGATTGCAAATCCATTTCTGTTCAAATGTGGCCATGAACAAATTAGCCACACTGGGTGCAAAAGCACTGCCCATTGCTACTCCGCTTATTTAGAAATAAAAACCCTCATGGAACACAAACTTTTTTCAAAAATAATATCAACCAAATCCAAATAAAATGCGTAGGAGGAGACAAAGAGTCTCTAAGTTGCAAAGCATCAGTGATCCATTGCCAAGCCTCCTGGTGGGGAATGTTAGTGTAAAGTGATGTTACATCTAGTGTGGCTAGTATAGCATTATTGGGCACTGGCAAATCTTCAATTTTTGTAATGAAATCTTTAATGTCTCTTAAGTAGGTATTTAAAAAACTAAAGGTTGAAGAAAAAAACTCAACATATTTTGATAATGGTTCAAATATAGAATTAGTACCCAGTACTGTCAGGCAACCCGGAGGTAGGCATTCTGGTTTATGAATTTTTGGAAGGATATAAAAAAAGGGCACCCTAGGAAATTCATTTACCAAATATGCTGCCACTGATTGATCTTCGTGGTCTCTGTGCAGGCCACACACTGGGTTCTATGCCTGCATCAAAACCTCTGCAGGAAGCTTTAAAAAGCTGTAAAGATAACCTCTTCTAGGTGGGATGTACCTCAGCTCCTGGGAGCATGTCCAGAACTGAGGTAGGCCCCGCCAGTGTTCCCTCTACGCTGATTTAGTGTGAGCTAGGTCAGGGTTTTTTAGCCTCCAGCTCACAGATTTTTGTCTTCGCCCAGGAAGGATGGCTCCAGAGCAAACTAATTGATGCAGCAGCCAAATTGCTTGCTCACAACTTTAACGCCAGTAACTCACAAAGCAGAATTTGTGCTCACAAGACTCCACAGCTTAGAGGGAACATTGGACCCCACTCCCACTCAGTTCCTTCCTTACCACCATCTCAGATGGACGTCTTTCCTTGTCTCTCTATGATAGCCTCTTCTCTTTTACCTCAGTATATCAATCCTGTAAAAAAAAAAAATTAAAGCGACTCTTACTATCTGGATCACACTTCCCCCATCGTCCCCCCTTCCAGTGCCCAGACTTTTGGACTGAGGGGACAGCACATGGGATGGACGCCCTCCTTTAAACGGCGTTCTGGCTATGATCCCAAGATTCCCCCAACGGACAGGCACGATCATTGTGTTCTGTGTCTAGGGGAGGATCATAGAACAGGCTCCTGCCCATACTGGTCAAAGTTTACACGTCAGGCTAAGAAGAACCAGGCTGCCTGCCTGAGGACCTTTTTATTAGATGGCACAACCCTCGGGATCTCGGCACACACCACCTTCCCCCCCTATAGAGAGGGGAGCCTCAGCATGCCGCTTCGTCTAAGTTGAAAAAGCTGAAATCTGACAACCGTCAAAGAGGGCATCCAGTTCAGTCCTGGTCTCAAACTTCAAATACCTTTTATTGGCATACAATATTAAAATGAACATTTCCCAGTATTAATACAGTCCTATAGAGATTATAAAATTGATAAAATGGATAATCGTGGTAAACCATTCCAAGGATATGTCAGGCCTATAACATACCTCAAGCGGTCACAAGATAGATTTGACCATACAAAAGATAACTAAGTCGTACAATAAATTAAAATCTAAACTTTTAAACTTAAGTTTTTAAAATTATAAATTAAAAATCATTAATATGCTCAGAGTCATTCTTCCGTTTTATAAAACCATGAAGAAACGTAGTGGTCAGTTCAATGATCTCTGAGTCTCGTGAAGCAAGGAGATAATGTACCTTATTTCTACCCGGTTGGCCTACTACCAACCTAAGGGGGGCTTCTATAAATTCCACTCTAATGTCATTTAACAATTTACAGTGTAAGAGTACGTGCTCAACCATTTCTATTTCTATTCCAGATCACGCCAACCCTTCTCGCCAGTCCTGGTCTCCACAAAGCAGAAGGTCCTGAGGATGTCAGATACATCCAAACAGGTTACTGTATTAAGACCCCTGGACCAACAATCTTTGACGAAGGCCACACTAGAGCCTATAATCATGATGGGGCTGTCAACTAAATCACCATCGGTGAAGCAGGTGGAGGCATCATTGGATTCAGTCTCTCAGCAGTCAACCCAGAAGCCTCCCTCTACACCAATACAAATGCAAATACTGACTGATGTGATGCTCTCTCCATCCATGTGCTACAAGACTGGAGGAGAGCAAATGTTATCCCAATCTTTAAGAAAGGGAAGAAGGATGACCTGGGAAACTACAGTCCGGTCAGTCTGACTTCTGTTGCTGGGAAGATATTAGAGCAGATTTTAAAGGGATCGATCTGTAAGCATCTGAAGGACCACTTAGTGATCCGGGGAAGTCAGCATGGTTTTGTCCTCAACAGATCTTGTCAGACCAATCTGGCTTCCTTCTTTGATCGTGTGATGAGCTTACTGGCATGTAGGAACTCTGTTGATGTGATTTACCTGGATTTCAATAAAGCTTTTGATAAGGTTCCCCATGACATTCAAATGGGCAAACTGGAAGACTGTAGACTATAGGACATTTCAGTGGATAGGGAACTGGTTAGAGGACCACACCCAAAGAGTCAATGGCGTTTCATCAGATTGGAGGGAGGTGTCCAGTGGGGTGCCGCAGGGCTTGGTTTTGGGCCTGGTACTTTTCAATATTTTTATCAGTGATCTGGATGAAGGGGTAGAAGGGCTATTCATTAAATTTGCTGATAATACCAAATTGGGAGGAGTAGCAAACACCCAAGAAGATAGAGTTAAAATTCAACAAGACCTAAATACTCTGGAGAAGCAGGCAGTTGCAAACAGGATGCAATTCAACAAAGATAAATGCACAGTATGACATCTGGGCCACAAAAATGTCAAGCACAAATACTGGATGGGGGATACGTTTCTGGGGAGTAGTGTATGCAAAACAAGATCTTGGGGTAAGAATGGACTGTAAACTAAATATGAGCAGTCAGTGTGATGTGGTGGCAAAAAAGGCAAATTCAGCCTTGGGTCGTATTAAAAGGGCCATAGCATCGAAATCGCAGGAGGTCACAGCCCCTCTGTATACTGCCTTGGTCAGGCCGCACCTGGAGTACTGCGTGCAGTTCTGGAGGCCTCACTTCAGAAAGGATGTGGGCAAAATTAAGAGGGTGCAGAAGAGAGCGACGAGGATGATCAGGGGTCTGGAGACTGAGCCCTCCGAGGAAAGGCTGAGGGGCCTTGGGAATGCTTAGTTTGGAGAAGAGGAGATTGAGGGGGGACATGATCGCTCTCTTTAAATATTTGAAAGGCTGTCATTTGGAGGAGGGCAAGGGGCTGTTCCAGTTGGCAGCAGAGGATAGGACCCGAAGCAACGGGTTTAAATTACATGCAGAAAGGTATCGGCTGGATATTAGGAAAAACCTTTTCACGGTCAGAGTAGTTCAAAGGTGGAATCAGCTGCCTAGAGAGTTGGTTAGCTGCCCTTCACTGACAGCTTTCAAGAAGAGGCTGGACGAATATTTGTCAGAGATGCTTTATGCTGGTCCTGCATTGGGCAGGGGTTTGGACTAGATGGTCTGTATGGCCCCTTCCAACTCTATGATTCTATTATTCATGCAGTCAGTACCACCATTAATTATCCTAGAAGACGACGATCATACTTCCGGCATTCTTCGACTCCAGAGTGTCTTCGACTCCGCCAGCCAGGCTCACCAAGAGTGTCTTCGACTCCACCAGCCAGGCTCACCAAGAAAGCAATCTAGGGGGCATTCATATGATTGATCCCCTGTGGCTTCCTGTTGTTCTGTGAGCGACTGATCTCTGCTGTATTATGGTGAACATGGACTATGGAGTCTCAGTTTGACCATCCCAGAACCAGCATCAGTGTGATTGATCGTATTCCAGGTCTCCATCCCAAACGAGACACTGAAGGACTCAAGGTCCTGATCTCAGTCCCGATGTTGGAAACTGCGATGCAAATCACCATGCCATGACTCGATACCACCAAAACCCAGTGCCATTTGAAGATACTCTCCCTTGATAAATCCAACAAACAGGGATCAAGGGTGTAGGAACCCACCAAGAACTCACAAGTCACCAGAGCTGGCAGATGGGACAGCCCTAGGTACACAACAGTTCACATCTCCAACTAGATCCAATCCAGAGACTGATGACGGTATCACAGAGGGAGGGTGAATGGAATGCTCCAATTGAACCAGAACCAGATCCACAGCAATCTCTGCCTACTTGAGAAGGTGCTAAGGGGTTCATGAACTTGATACAATGTATGGCGAGAGCATTGGGAATACAGCTAACCTCGGAGGCAGCACCTGTTTTTGATATTGTGCATGACATCCTTCAATCCAACCTACTGACTTCTTCAGTACTGCCAGTACATTTGGCAATATTGCAAGAAGCATGGGGCAAGTGCGCTTCGACACTACCTATCCCTAAACAATATGAATCTATGTATAAGGTGCAAGGCAACAATGCTAAATTCTTACAGTCTCACCCAGAACCTAATTCGGTAGTTGTTCACTCATCTTCTAAGGCGAAACAGGCACATAATTTGGCTCCCCCAGATAGGGAGGGCCAGAAATTAGATACAATGGCAAAAAAGATTTATGCCTCCACATCACTCTCTTCCAAAATGCAAACTTATGTGTCTTACTTGTCGGCATATACCTTTAATCTTTCCAATAAGGTGGAAGCACTGCTCATTAACCTCTCTGAGGATGTCCATCCAGAGGCCACAGCTTTTCTCCAGGAATCACGCAGGGCTGCAAAACAACAAGTAGCAGCTGTGCAGCACACAATATCCTGTTTTCCCAAATCATGGCAACTGCTGTAGCTCTTTGCTGACATGCATGGCTCAGGGTGACATCTTTGTAGATAGATATAAAACAAAAAATCAAAGATATACCCTTTGATGGGAACAGCTTGTTCCACATGACCACAAGACTGTGCATGAGAGCTGTAGGCGGGCTAAGAATTTGGGCGTGAATGTACCATCATTACACCAAACCCCAAGACAAAGATCGTGGAGACCTCAATACTCACACAGACCTTGATCACCAGCTCACTCTGACTCCTCGAAATGTCGGCAACCAATGTCTAGGCAAACGTATCAGTCCAAAGCCAAGTCAGTTTCTTCAAAAAAGATGCCACAACAATCAAAGCAGTCATTTTGACTCCATGGGCAGCCACATTGGAGCCACCACTGTCACTGTTGTTAGGCCTGTCGGCAGCGTTCAACATGGTCGATCACCACTTGCTCGCCCACTGCCTCGCCGACATGGGGATTCAGGGGCTTGCCTTGCAATGGCTTGTCTCCTTTCTCCAAGGTCAGGGACAAAGGGTGGCTCTTGGAGAGCAACTGTCCTGAAGGCACCCACTAATCTGTGGAGTGCCTCAAGGGGCGGTGCACTCCCCAATGCTATTTAACATCTACATGCGCCCCCTTGCCCAGATTGCCCGGAGGCATGGACTAGGGTGTCACCAATATGCGGATGACACCCAGCTCTATCTGTTGTTGGGCGGTCAGTCTGACTCTACCCCGGAAGACCTGGACCGGGCATTACAGGACGTGGCTGGATGGCTTAGACTGAGTCGACTGAAATTGAATCCGATGAAGACAGAGGTCCTGTGCCTGAATCAGAGCGGCTTGGGGGTAGGGATCCCATTACTGGCTGATGGGGCGCCATTGGTGCCAGTGTCGAAGGTCAGGAGTTTAGGAGTGCTCCTGGATGCCTCCTTGACAATGGAGGCCCAGGTAGCTGCCACTGCCAAGGCAGCCTTTTACCATCTGTGGCTGATTAGGCAGTTGGTTCCCTTCCTCAAATACAAATATCTGGCTTCAGTGATCCACACAATGTTTACCTCAAGATTGGACTACTGCAATGCTCTCTACATGGGGCTGCTCTTGGGGCAACTCCGGGAGCTGCAGCTGCTGCAGAATGCAGTGGCCAGGCTGCTGATGGGTCTCCCTATGCGGGAACACATCCAGCCTGTGCTAAAGTCACTGCACTGGCTGCCAATAGCATTCCGGATTCACTTCAAGGTGCTGGTTTTGACCTTTAAAGCCCTTTATGGTCAGGGGCCTGTCTACCTGAGGGACCGCCTCTCCCCGCATGTTCCTCAGAGAGCACTGTGATCAGGAACACAAAACTGCTTGGCCCTCCTTGGTCCTAAGGATGCTAGGCTGACATCGACCAGGGCATTCTCCCTGGTGGCACCAACTTACTGGAATGAGCTCTCAGGTGAGATCAGGGCCCTGTGGGACCTTCAACAGTTCCACAGGGCCGTTAGAACGGAGCTTTTCCGGCAGGCATTCCAGTAGGAGCGGCATCCATTGATGGAGCCTGTGCTGATCTGCCAGTTGAAGCTATTTAAAGCGGTTGCACTGTGGAATGTGTTTAGATGCACTTTCTTATATCAATGCGCCAATGACACATTAATGGTTTTAAATTAATTATGTGTTTTATATTGAAATGTATACTGTTTTAGTGGTTTTATGTAAGCCGCCCTGAGCCGCTACGGTGGGGAGGGCAGGGTAGAAGTTAAACAAACAAATAAATAAAAGGATAGGAGAATGGTCTCTGAACAAAAACAGTTTCTGGGAAATCACATATCATTATGGGACTCCAATAATAGACCTGTTTGCCTCTTCAAGCAACTGACAAGTGCCAAGATTCCTATAGAAGTATTTCAAACCCAAAGCAGTCTTTCACCAGTGGCGTACGGGCTTCTTTATGCCTTCCCTCTGATTCTGCTGATCAGCACAGTGCTGAACAAAGTATGAAGGAAAACAGTGGAGGTGACTTCATTCCACCATTCTGGCCAAGAAGACCGTGGTTTTCGAAACTGCTGAAGCTGTCGGTGGGCACACCATGGTGACTTCCTCCCAGGAAAGACCTCCTCAATCAGGGTCTGATTTTACACCCAGACCCAGAATGGATTCCGTTAATGGCATGGAGATTGAGCAGGCAGACCTAGAGAGTTCACGTTTCTCAAAAGAAATTGTGGACATCATGATCCAAGCAAGAAGGCCAGTGATCAGACGCAATTATAACTATACCTGGT